ATGTGTTATACCTTCTCTTGGGTTGAGAAATTATAGATCTCTCAATGAAGCCTCTTTCTCTTTTTGTAGAATCCAGTCAGCGACTTCCAAACTAGTATCTGAATTTCCCACGGGGAGCTGCAGGATCGTTTTGACCTAGAATTGCTTGCTTTTTTGAGAAGAAGGAAAGTGTGGGGCTGAATTACAGAAGACAAATGAGTACAAAAATAATTAGATGTGTCTGTATGCGAATAAAATTTTGACAAAGGCATCTCAAAGTGCATGTGCTTGCTAAATACTTAACTGTTGTCATAGATTACCATGTTTTGCACTATCTTAGTTTGTGGGCTTTCCAAGGAGAGGTGTTACTGCTAACTTTATGGTTTTTCAAGTAATCTTAAAACTGTTCTCTATTTAGTACTGACAAAATAATGCTGCAACTGGACAGGTAATGTGGTGTAGCAGTAGTATTAAATTCTGGGTAGTATTTTTTCATGATTATCCTATTTGGTCTCATTTGTCTCTTGAATTAATATGAGTCTTCTTCATGTTATCTTTGTATTTTTGAGATAACACTTTTGGTGGGGCTTTTTTTCCTCTGCCCAATTAGTAATCTTTTTTGATTTTGTAAAGCTTTCTACACTGTCTCTCACAGGATCCTTCTGGACAGAATGTCCAGCACACAGCTGGATAAACACATCATGCAGTGGGTGAGCAATTGGCTGAGGGGTTGAGCACAGAGGGTGATAGTGAATGGGGTGACATCAACCTGGTGACCTGTCACTAGTGGGGTTCCACAGGGCTCCATCCTGGGCCCTGTGCTCTTCAACATCTTCATAAATGACTTGGACATAGGACTGGAAGGGACACTAAGCAAATTTGCAGATGATACAAAACTGGGAGGAGCTGTTGACTCCCTTGAAGGCGGGGAGGCCCTGCAGAGAGACCTTGACAAATTAGAGGACTGGGCAATCACCGATCATATGAAGTTCAACAAAGGAAAGTGCTGGATTCTGCACCTGGGATGGGGCAACCCCAGATGTAAATAAAGACTGGGGAATGAAATGCTGGAAAACAGTGCCAGGAAAGGGACCTGGGGGTCCTGGTCGATGGCAAGTTGAACATGAGTCAGCAGTGCCCTGGCAACCAGGAGGGCCAACCATGTCCTGGGGGGCATCAGGCAAAGCATCACCAGCTGGTCGAGGGAGGGGATTGTCCTGCTCTGCTCTGCACTGGGGTGGCCTGAGCTGGAATATTGCGTGCAGTTTTGGGCACTGCAATATAGGAAAGTTATTAAGCTCTTAGAGAGTGTCCAAAGGAGGGCAACAAATGTCTGTCAGATTGACTTTCTTGGCTTTGCAAAACATCAGTATCTCTGAGTTGTGTAAACTCTAATTGTTTTCAAGCCTGCTTGAATCTTGATAAGGATTCATCATAAAGATGTGAAATACTGCAGTTATCAAGCAGAAAAAAAAATATGATTCAAGAAACGTCATTTTGAGACAGCTTTATTTTGTTAAATCCTGTGTCAATGATTTTCTGAAATCTATGGAAAAGCCTGAGTCAATTTTTGTCATGCCATCTAGTGGCAGGTTTACTTCTATTCCTGTGTTTTAAATTGTTGGACTGACGTGCACTCTGGAAAAGGTGCAGTAAAAATCTGTGACTTGCAGCATTAGCCATCATTGTACTGAGGCATATAGTTGTTAAACTGTTTCTCTTGGTACTGACTTAAACGTTAATGTATTTCTTTTTATGGATAGAATGTCTGAAAAAAGGCTTTTTTGTCCTTTTTGTGGATTTAACTGCACTTCATATTTCCTGAAGTTTTCTGCTGTATGTGGGTGGCTGTTATAACATGGACATACTGAAGCAGGACCTTTGGGACTTGCTGCAGGACAAACCTGGATTTGTGAAGGTGAAGGAAATAAATGAAGAACTGCATCAGACTCAGTCTCTCCAGCCATGCAGATAATGGAAGTGGTGTTCCTGTGATAACTGTGCTAAAGTCTGGAGGTCACATATATGGCTGATGTAGTTGCACACAACTTCAATCTCGAGGGAAGCAGCCCATCATTGGTGCTAAGTAAAACTGTTTTTGAGTTCAGTAGTCTTCTTTGCTGTAGACCGAAATGAGCAAGCACCTCTGGAGACTGGTTGTGACATTTCAGCTGTGTCAGCTGGAAGCTGAACTGTTGGAATGAGCACTTGAAAATGAGAACTTTACTAGTCTTTAACTGAATGTGAAAGTGTCCATCATTTTGGGCTGCTTCTGTACTCTGAGAAATAGATAAACTTTATCAATCAGTTGATTTTATTTTTTATATTGGCATATATTATGTGCATACCTATATACATTTGTATACTAAATATACTTTAAGGTCTTTAAGATGCTGTGTATGTTATGTAACACTTCACTCAATTTTTTTGTCAAACATTTAATTTACAGGTAGATTTTAACAGACAAGTGAATATGTTCTGAGTACTTTCCACACCTTTTCTATCTTGGTAGGAATATGATGAATCCTAGAACTTAATCTGGGAGGAGCTGTTCTAGGTACTTCAGTTGCAGTCTTTTTTTCTTTACATTTTAGAATGATGTAACTTTTGTTGTAATGGGCATGGATTGGAGTAGAAAATGGCTATACTTCTAGTGCTTCCAGCATTTTTCTGTATATTCCCTCTATTCTATAGGGAATCTCAGAGTCTGTAGAGACAACTGCAGACTTGTGTGAGTCAGGAGAAATAGGACCAAGATATCAAATTGAATGCTTTCTAATACCTATTTTACATGCAGTGGGCATGGGAATGCATGGTAAACTTCGGAAAAAGACTATGGGTTGGATTTTTTGTTTGGTGTTTTTTGGTTGGTTGGTGGTTGTTTTTTTTTTTTTAGCATAGAAGTCCCCTTCAGTGATGTGTTTAGCTCCCTTGAGGAATCTCATGAGAGACTGTGACTATTCCCTGTGCCTTGGAATGTGAGGAAAAACCAAGGCTGTACTTCATTATGCTAAATGTTTAGATGTGCATTTGACCAGTGTATATAACAGGGATCAAAATTCAGAGGAAGCCAGGCAAAGGAGGTACTTGTTTAGACAGAATGCAAATTCTCACTCCATTTCTTCTTGTATGTAGGTGCTGCTCATGTACAAAGTTTGGAAAGAGCCTGCAAGGGTTCATGCCACAGATATCTTTGCATTTTTCTGTAAATTTCTGCTTGTTACTGTTCTTTATTAAGTACCTGACAGTTAAAAGTACGTTGAGTTTTGCTTGTCAAGTTTGTTATCCTAGGAGAAATGGAAGTGTGCTCAAGAACCCATAAGTGGTTTTTATTTGTTTATTTTGCTGAATTTCTCTTCTTGTCTACAAGTGACTAGAGGAGGCAACCAGTCTTCAGAGAAGGACTTTATTAGAACACTGGTGACATCTCAGTATCTGGAGTGAGACAGGGGTAAGGGTTTCTGTTCAGGGTGTTCCTTTTGGTTTTGTTCAGCTTTTTGAAACTCAGTTCAGTTCTCCTTAGATCAGGAGGATCATTTCATTGGCTGCTGCCAAGTTCTCCCTTTACTTGGCACTGGTGAGGCCACACCTGAAATACTGTGTTCCAGTAGAGGCCCCTCATTCCAAGAAAGACATTGAGGTGCTGGAGCGTGTCCAAAGAAGGGCAATAAAACTGGTGAAGGGTCTGAAGCACAAATCCTGTGAGGAGGACTGAGGGAGCTGGCATTGCTTAGCCTGGAGAAAAGAAGGCTCTGAAGAGACCTTCTGGCTCTCAACAAATAACTGAAAAGAGGTTGTAGTGAGGTGGGGGTCAGTCTCTTCTAGGTATCTTCCTGGGATATGTTAAAAATCTGTTTCATCATGCTTCCAGTTTTTCTTACAGAAAAAACGGAAAACACAGTTATAAGTAGGAAATATTTTCTATTTGAAGAGTGACTGAGTAAGGTAGAAGTCTTTGACTTGGAAAAGAGATGAGTTGAATGATATTACAAAGGCCTTCAAAATTATAAGTGTCAAGGAAAGAGCAAGTATGAATTGATTTTTCGCTGCTTTTGAATATACAATTCTAGGGATTTTTAAGCAAAGGCATTAGGAACCAGGTTCAAGGAGAAATAATTTCGTGCAATTATTTTGCACAAAATGATTGGCAGACTTGTGAAATTCCTTACTAATGTTATGAACTCATGAATTAAAGGGAGTCTACATGGGATTGAGAAAACTAGACTGGTACTTGGAACAGAGACCTACAGAATCAACAGATGCCAAACTGTGCCTCTGGAGTTCTCAGAGTCTCCAAAGGCTGAAAAGTGTGGAGTGGAGAGGGGTGTGTCAAGGAGGACTGTTTGCCCATTTGTCTTTGCTACACACTTCTACAGACCAGTTTTGGAAAATGGATACAGAAATGGTGACCTGCAAGCTGAGCCATTCTGCTCATTTTTACATTTTTATATCTTCCTTTATTTTAATTTGAAATTCGAACTTAGGTTGAAAGAACTTTGAATCTAGATGGAAAGAAACATCTTCTAGATGTCTGGACCAAGCTGTTCACATAACTGCCATTAATGTGTGAGCTGGCTGTATATGCACACTAGCTGTAATGCATCCTGGACCTAGTATATATACTCTGGTGAACTTGCTTATCAGTTACGTGCATAGAACACTTTTTCTTTCGTGTGTAGGTATACTGTTCAGCTAGTGCATCCTGAATACAACAGATGTGCTGCACAAACTCCCGAGGCATACATTTGTATTGCGTTCTGTGATGTATATGGTTGAAGTTTCAGAATCTGAAAAGGAAAATGTCTTTTGTTTAATTTAACTGATGTTAGTCTGACATAGTAGGCCCACAGGAAATCTATTTGTGTAATGATGTGCACTGACAGCTTAACAGTCAGTAGATTGTGAATACTCTGATTATTACTGTATGTTACAGAATTAAGTGCTGTCTGGTACTGTTAACTTTCTACTGTGTTAGAAAACATGCGCACATTAGATTGAACTTTTCTTTTTTTCTTCTGCAGGAAAATTTTGAAGATGCCTTTGAAAACATCCCCGTGTAAGTAGAATTTCTGTTAAAACTATTTATACATATGGAATACTGCAAGCACACCATTCCAGGGAAATATCATTTTATATGCACTGACTACATTCACATTTTTCAGAACAGTTAAGGTCCCCAAGAGTCGGGAAACAGAAGTGTAATTAGGTTGAAGTATTTGTCAACAAATGTGAAAATTGTACAGAATTAAAAATAGCAAATTTAGTAACTCTAGTTATATACTGATAGCTCCAGACATTTTTGCGTATTGAAGAAATAGTTGCTTAACATGATGGAAGAGCTGTGGATCACACATTGTGCAAGACCATCCAAGGAAGATTTTCAAATGGAAATTGCCATACCTCATGATGTACTGCTGCACAGATGTTTTTCCCTAATGAAGTGAGATACAGTCACTTCTGTGGCATTAAATTTCATGCTGAAGCAACACCTTACTTACAGTGTGATGAAAAGACATGATGCTGTTCGTAAATGGTTTTAGTTTTTCTCTAGGATTTTTCTGCATTTTTGTACCATGGAGCACACGAGAAGGGGACTTCGAGTGGTATCCTTGGATTTCTAAAACTCAGCAGTAGCTTTGGACTTAATTGCTAAAAATTCCATGGTCCTGGCAAATTATATTCTACAGATTTGCCAGACCTTCTGTTTGTATCTTACCTGGAGTAGTGTGGCAGTTTCAGCCACATTAGAAATCCAAAAATCCAATTCCCAGGCTTTCCCCCAACCCCTTCCCACAATTTATCCTAACACCGGAGAGAAACTTTCAGGCCAGAGGCTTCTATAGGGGAAGGGAAAGTATATACATTTATTTACACAAATAAATATACTGTACAAAGTAAAAGCAACTATATATATATTTACATTTCTGTCAGTCCTTTTAACCCCTTCCTTTAACTTTAGTCCAGAAAGAAGCCTTTCAAGGCTGGAAAGTAACCAGTCCCTCCTGTGAGAGTGTTCTGGGTCTGAACGCTCCCCCCTCACCAAGCCCCAGTTGTTTGTTGCAGTCTCTCCTCCTCATGAAGTCCAAGAAGATAGCTTTGAGTCCTTGCTCTTCTGCTGCTGTGTGATTTCTCCCTCTCGGTGTCATACCTTGGTTCATAGGCTGCTGCAGTGTAGTTTAGCTTATCAAGCGTCTGCGTCCTGGAAGGTTGATTCCTCCTTCGGGTTTTCGGTTGTCCTCCATTTAAATCACTGCAAAGACATCCTCCGGGCCCCTCTCTATCGGGGGTCCGTCTCCAATTCTTGCATGGGATTTTTCTCCCTAGCCATCGAGCCTCCTCTGGCCCATCCACTTGGCTCTGCTCCAATGCTGAGCCTCGCATCCACTCTCACTGAACAGCGAGAGGGGAAAAACAGCCCTCCTCTGCAGCTTGGCTGCAAAGGTGGGGGGGAAGAAGAAGAGGGCCTGGCTGCAGGGCCTACCTCTCTCTCTCTCCCACTTACCAGTTGTTTGTGAGTCGCATCCCTCACAAACATGCACTCATTCCAATGCTGTCTCTAACTCTGGCCTAGGCAGAGTTAGGGGGGCTGTAGGGTTCCCCTCCTTCCCCCCCGGAGAGGGAGAGAGAGGGAGCCCAGCCACCCCCTGGCCTTCAACACCTACATGCAGCAGACACCAACAGCAAAACAACCAAGACTGCACTGCCAACAGCTTCCGGTGCTGTGATATATGATTTTGAGCAGAAGCGAACAACATGGACAGTGATCGGCTCTCCAGGGAACACTGCCCTGACACCAGTCACCTCTGAGCCTCCTCAGCCTCTCGGGGGGGGGGCAGTTTCAAACTATGACAAGTAGTAAGGTCTGCTCTCTATGTAACACTGAGAAAAGTTAAATTGTTTCCTGACACTCAAAAGGAAATCGGAGTCTAATGTGTTCATGTTGAGAACTCTTCATGTTAATAATTGCTTTTACTTCCTTTAACTGCCTAGCAGTTGCTGTATGATCAGGTAACTTCTCTCTCTGGCCCTTGTTTCCCTTGGGAGAGGGAAGAGGGTGACTTTCAAATACTTATTTTGTGAGAATATTTATCCAACACTCCTTCTTTCTATGAGATAGTTGTTATATTGTTTTTATTGATGTCTGAGGTGGCCATGGTTGTTTATTATTGGCATGCAGAGCTTTGATTTCTTCTTCCTGAGTGTGTCTCCTGTGTTCATAGCTCTCATACAGAGACACTTTTTATAGTGGTGTAGAAGTTAGGCTGATGTTAGTTTATTCTGGGTGGTCTTGGTTCCATCTGTAATAACCATTATTTAGAAGAGTCAGTGCAGGATGATGAAGAGAATATTAATGGGACAGAAATTGTGTTATTACTTAGTGTCACTAGTTGAACATAGTGAATGTGTATATTTCATATATGGCCAGGATTCTTCACTAGATTAGTCTCCCTCAAATTCTTTAGAAGGTACAGCTGTTTAAAAAAATAGGCCTAAGGAACTGAAAAAAAACTTGGGATGTTTCGTGGAAGTCTTCAATCTTATCTTCCTTGAAACACTTTGATTGTAGTTTTCAAATGATGCTGGTAATTTTTCTGAAGGGAAGCCTCTCCTAAATCTAATGCCCTACTGGTTATTCTTGACCTTTCTCTATCTAGAATTAATGGTAGTTTTTTCTGTTAAGAATACAGTAGTAAAAATTTGGGAACATGACTACTTTGAAACAATGAATGGCCAGAGGTTTACCCTTCTAGGAAGCTGTATCTAATTTTTTGATTTTACTGTTGATAACATTCACTTCAACATTTTTCTGTATGTCGGTGTTTCAGTCTCTTTTATTTTGGATAGGAAAGTGGCATTGTTACAGCTCTGTGATGACATGCCTGGCATTGGTTTGAGTGGTTTATTGCAGTTTGTTATACCTAATTGAATATAACTAAAATGGATCTTTTTTATAGGGACTTGTGTCTACAAAGACTGATGTTTGCTTATAAGACCAGTTCTGGTTCAAATTCTGTCAGATCATCTTGTTAGTTTAGAGAATTGGGAAAGAACGTGTGACAACCAGATCTTCATAGGTCTGTATTTCATACACCACTCTGCAATTCTTCGTGTAAAATATATAGGGAATAATACTACTCTGTACTTTGCATCAGTAAATGCTAGCAAATGATTTTACTAATCTAAGTTGGCTCTCACTGGCTTTATTCCTTAAATATTGCTTACCTATAGATACTGGGTTGTGCAGATTAACTGTTAAAAGGGCAGTGAGTGATTTTTCTGTCTGGATTCCTTTGTGATGTTCTTCTGGTAAACTTCAAAGCAGGTTTTGTAATGAGCCCAAAATATTTGTTTTGTAGAAATGTGAAGGAACCTTTAAATAGAGTTCTTTACTATACATGGATTTTTTTTTTGTTCACTGGTGCTAAAGCCAAAGAAAGGCTATTGCAGTAGGTCAGTTTGCCATTTTACTTAAAGCAAACACTAGCATTTAATTTCATATCTTCTCTGCCAATGAGAGTAACTAAGTTTTCAGTTTTCTAAGTATTGACTCGATAATATTGGCTTAATACAGTATCTTTAACCTTCCAAAGAGAATACGTGGGATATATGTGAAAGTAAATTCACCATTACATGGTTGCATTAACTCAGAAATAGTTTCAGATTGGTGTATTCTGTTGTAAAAGAAACAGAGGAACTGGAGTCAAACTGTTCTTTCTGTTGTGGAAATTCAAACCTCTACCAAGAAGTTGGTAAGCTGCTTTTTACCAGATATTTCACCATGTTTCCACTGGAGTGTCTGCTTATTTTTAAGTTTTGGGCACATGTGTTTCACAAGGTTACCTAATGCCTATGAAGCATCTACAGGTTCAAAAACATATATGGATGGAACAGATTTATTTGTGATTTATTCTTCTATTTAATTCTTGCTAAAAATGCCTCATCAGTACCTGAATCTTACTGTGGAAAAACTATGAACTGTAATTTCAGTCTTACTGAACAAGATAATTCTCAGTTTCTATGCAGAAATATATTGAAAAAATGCTACTTTAATTTTTCCTTGAATTATTCAGAGAATCTCTTTGTAGAATGCAGATATTCCTGTTTTCTGTTGCCAGAGTATAATTTTGTAAATTATCTTGTCTTTGGTTTTACAAGTAGATTAAAAGTGGTTTGAGTTCCCAACAGTTTTTAACCATCACTGTATTATGTATGTACTGACCTTGCCACTGCTGTTTTGATTTCTGTATGTATTTTATCCTCTGAAGTTCTCAATTTGTTTTGAACTTGTATGAAATGTTAATTCTACTGGGATTTCTTCCCATCTTGTTTTACTTACTGTTCCTTAAAATGTCATCTGTATGTGACAGGAATAAGTAGCCATCAAGTTGTTGTGCTTTTCCATGCAATCTTCCTTACGTTGCCTTGCAGTCTTTGAGGTAAAGACAAGATGGTGATTTTATTTACTACCCAAATATCAGAGGCTTATGCAAATGAATAGCAGCATTTAGTGTAACTCTATTATGGTAGCTGCATGGGTATATTTATAGACGATGCTTTGTAGTTGTCTTTGGGAAGAAACACAGTAGTCTGCCTGACTGTTGTGAGCAGTTCATATGCAGAGGCAGTCTTCATGTTGTCCTATTTATATAAAGATTTCTGACACCAGACCCTCAGTTACAGCATTAGGGGAAAGATAGTGAGATCTCATTTAAACACATTTAAAACATGAAATGCTGAAAAAGTAGAAGCTAACATTCTGTAGAAAAGCAGACAGATGATTTTTGATCAATAATAATACTCAGGATTTTCTGTCTTTATCGATTTCAGCAAAAAGAGAAATGCTTCATTGATTCTCTTTTGCATTTTCTTTGCCTACCCAAAGCTGGATACCGTTAATCCTTGATCCTACCAAAGCAGCTCTGTGTGGTATTACTGGGGTGACAGATTAAGGGCCAGAAGTGTTTAAGGAAGTTAGAGCAGGTTATCCTTATCATCTCAGAAGTGTAGTTAAGATTCCCGTTACACCTGCACATGTGAGTATTTTGCTACTGAATG